GGAGACAGCACCCTGGTGCTTGGCCACATGGCCTTTAGACAACGTGGGGGGATCTGCGGAATGTGCCTCAGCCTGACCCTGCCACCTGCCATCTCTGTGCAGCATCTCTGTGCCTGGCTAGGGACATCCCTGAGGGCAGGGACTCTGCTGTTTCTCAGTGTCGCCATCGCAGGGGCGTGGCATGAACGGTTGTCGACTGGATAAATGTGTGTGAGAGGGAGACAACGGGAGCGTGCCTGCTGCGTGAATCCCAGGAAGCCCGGCACTCAGGCTGCTCCCCTACCGCCTCGCCTCCTCTCCCCTCACCTCTCCCTCCCCTCTCCCCACCCAGTCTGGTTCTACTGTGGTGTCGTGGGCTCCTTCCTCTTCATCCTCATCCAGCTGGTGCTGTTCATCGACTTCGCGCACTCCTGGAACCAGAGGTGGCTGGGCAAGGCCGAGGAACGTGACTCCCGGGCCTGGTATGCAGGTGAGCACCGCCACTCAGCCTCCAGAGTCCGGGGACTGGGACTTCCTGAGCGTCAGGGCGTCCCCGCAGCTACAGGAAAGCCTCGAGGGCATCTGGAACAGCCCCCTGCCCCAGGGCAGCAGTTGAACTGTCCAGGGCAGATGGAGGGAAGGGGCAGCTGGCTCTGGGGTCACTTGAAGGGGTGGTCAGAGGAGAGCCGAACCGGAGAGGCCTTGGCGGGGTCTGAGTTCAGCGGTTCCCACAGCACGGGCCACGCACAGCCAGCCCAGACCCAGCCAAATGACACTCGGTCACTGAAGCCCCCGTGGCAGGATGGGTGCCTGTTCAGCTGTCTTTCTGAGCCGATCAAGGAGAAAGGCTCACTCAGGAGCTGGTCTGGTTTCACGCCTCTCTCAGGCTGGTCTCTCTGACAGAGAGCAGGGCTTCAGCAGGTCACTATGCATCCAGTTGACTTTTCATTTTTTTTTAATTGCGAGAGAGAGAGAGGGAGGGAGAACAAGCAGGTGAGGGGCAGAGAGAGAGAGGGAGAGAGAGAGGGAGAGAGAGAATCCCAACAGGCTCTGCACTGTCAGTGCAGAGCCCGATGTGGGGCTCTAACTCACAAAGCGTGAGATCATGACCTGAGCTGAAGTCGGACACTTAATTGACTGAGCCACTCAGGTGCCCCTCCAGTTGGCTTTTTAAAAGACTGTTGTGTGTTCGCCATATTTCTTTGCATGGTTAACTTCTTTATGGCAAGGGAGCCGTCTCAGTTCAGGTGTTGGTGAATGACAGACGTTCAGGAGACTCCGATGTCATTCCTCCAATGAGGAAGCTGAGGGCTCACACAGGGAACTGCCCGACAGGCCCCCGGAGGGCTCGGGGGTCCCTGTGCCTCCTGACTCTGCTGCTTGCCACCCTTCCTGCCCAGGCCTCTTCTTCTTCACCCTCCTCTTCTACACGCTGTCCATTGCGGCCGTGACGCTATTGTTCATCTACTATACCCACCCCGGCCCCTGCTACGAGGGCAAGGTCTTCATCGGCCTCAACCTCACTCTCTGTGTCTGCGTCTCCATTGTCGCCGTCCTGCCCAAGGTCCAGGTGAGCCCACCTGTCTTTGCCCATCCTGATGCCAGGCCCCTTGGTGTGTGGGACTTCTGGTGTGAACCTTGGGGTCCTGGGACAGGGCTGTTAGTCACAGAGGCTTGGGCTAAGAGTGTGGACTCCCAAGTCAGCCTCCCTGGGTTGGAGTCCCAGTTTGCACATCTACATGCTGGGTGTCTTTAGGAAAGTGCCTTAACCTCTCTGTGCTTTTCTCTTCTCAAATGTAAAAATGAGGATAATACCTAGTCTTTGGAGTTATTTGCAGGATGGAGATAGAGTTTGTGAACACACAGAACAGGGTCGGGAGTAGAAGTATCCATCAGACATTAACTGTTGTTATCATTGTTGTCTTTATGGAAATCGGGAGACCGTCAGGGAGGACCACCGAGCAACGATTCCTAGACCTCTCAACAAGGGGTGCTGGGAGTTCCACAGTTTCTAGTCCCAGAACGTCTAGGGTAATGGGTGGGGCTCCCCAGGTCATCGTGTGCTTTTCAGAAAGCCTCTGAGCCCAGGGGTGCCTCGTGGCTGGGGATCTCGCCCCACCAGGGACTTCACAGCTAGCTTGGGTAGCCTTTGAGGGTCTTTAGCAGAAAGGTGGGGAACCTCCCTTCTGGTCAGAGCCTCTATTTCCAGGTGAGAAAACTGAAGCCCACAGAGGGTGATCCCTCTGTCCCAGCTCACACAGCAATCAGTATTCATTCAACAAATACTTCCGGAACACTTACTGTGTACCAGGCCCTCTTGTAGGTGTTGGGGATACAGCTGTGGAGAAGAGGGGGAAGAATAACAATAGCTACCAGTCGATGGCATCTGTCCTGTCATTTAATCGTGCACCATCATCGTCCCCACTTTCCACTTTCATACTTTCTTGGAGGAGGAAAGACACTCGCCTGAGGTCACCCAGCTGGTAGGGGGCAGAGCTAGGGGGTGGAACAGGCAGACTGTCTCCAGACCCTGTGCTTTTTTTTTAGTTTCTTTCTTTCTTTCTTTCTTTCTTTCTTTCTTTCTTTCTTTCTTTCTTTTTGAGATAGAGAGAGAACAAGCGGAGGCAGGGGCAGAGAGAGAGGGGGGAGAGAGAATCCCAAGCAGGCTCTGCACTCCCAGCACGTAGCCCGATGTGGGGCTTGAACCCATGAACAGTGAGATCATGACCTGAGCCAAAATCTAGAGTCGGATGCAGGCATAGCGAGTGCAAAGGCCCTGAGTGGGGGAGAGGGTTTGGTGGGTTCTGTGGACAGAGAGGAGGCCACTGTGGCTGCCCTGCGGTGGGAGGTGGGTGGGGAGGAGCTTGAGGGGGCGTGGCCAGGTGGAGAAAAAGGCAGGGGTGAACACGGAGGGCTTTAATCCAGAGTGAAGCGTTCTCAGCAGGGGAGCGACTGAGATGATTTGTTAAGAGGAAGAATGGAGACTCCATGTTTGGGCAGCCGGGGTGGGTGGTGGGTGGCCTGGGTACTGTGTTTTCCCGAAGGGTGTGCGGTGGGATGGCTCTAGGGTGCTGGGGCTTTCTGAGGTCCCCTGGTTGGGAGGGAGTGGGCTAGGTGTGGGTGGGGTGTCCCCCACGTCTGACGGGGTCTTCCTGATGGATTGCCTCTGCCAGGACGCCCAGCCCAACTCGGGTCTGCTGCAGGCCTCCGTCATCACGCTCTACACCACATTTGTCACCTGGTTGGCCCTGTCCAGTGTCCCTGGTGAGTACAGGCCTGGATTCGAGGAAGCCTGGGCTCATTCCTGGGTCAGTAGCGACCTTCTGGGGGGGCTGGGGACCCTCACAGGTGTCAGGGACACCTCAGCCCAGCCTGTTCCTCATGCCAGTCCTTCAGGGAGTAGGAGGACCCTCTCTGTTCCAGGATCTATTTCCCTGTCATCTGTCTGCTAAGTTCTGTCTGTCGCTGGGATTTGGACGGTCAGTTGTATGTCTGTCTGTCCATTTGGGTTGGCTGTCTGCCCTTCCTCAGACCTGGCCTGCATGGGCTGAGGGGGACTGGTCTCCCATCCCTAGACCAGAAATGCAACCCTCACCTGCTGACCCACTTGAGCAACGGGACGATCCTGGCAGGCCCCGAGGGCTACGAGACTCACTGGTGGGATGCACCGAGCGTCGTGGGGCTCATCATCTTTATCCTGTGCACCGTGTTCATCAGGTAGAGTGGGGGGGGGGTCTGGCTTCTGGGGAG